ACCATGCAAATTAACTTGGTACCCTTAATTTTATCGCCTGATTGATGTGCCGGTTAACCACATGCGCTCCACCGATCTATGATAAACATTAAGTTACCCTTTGCTACACTTACTAGTCCATGTTAATGTGCCGGTTAACCATACATGCTCCACTAACGACTTGGTAAGGTACAAAGTGTAATTTCATGGGTTATCACCAAATTCACATTTTCCTAAAGTAACTAAGATTGGGAATTTATAAAATATTTAGTTACTTTATAATCATTATACTTTTAATGAGAATTAAAGTCTTTGTCCTACCCGTTTGGCTAACAATCCTCCACAAGTCAAGGAAGCGGTGGGTGAGAGTGGACACCCATTAAGCTGCTATTTTATAGGCAACAACCTTATACCCCCTTATAGACCGGCTTCGTGAATGAGGCCTATTAACGGTAAGATTTACTTGATCTTATACATACATACACACACACACACACACACATATATATATATATATATATTATTAACTTATAATACTATAAAGTATAAGGGTTGAATTTTAAACTTTTTAAAACTCTAAGGATTAGAATCAATGCGTGTGAGACTTTACAAATTCCAAAACTTGAGGGAAAGTTTTGAAACTATTCAAAAAATTTCATTTCTATAACTTATGAGTCTTAATGGTTTTAAAGAAAAGACTTTTGGAATTCCATAACTTGAGGACAAGTTATCGAGTCCATTAATTGGCATTTAGATCAAGAATTACACTAACAAATAGTTTGCAAATAATTCCTGTGATCTACCAAAACTCATAAGCATGAACATTCATATCAACAATTTTCAAGAATCATATAAACATATATAAAACTTGAAACTTTAATAATAACCTTTGAAAATGGATTAGCATAATCATTACCACATCAAAAACAAATTTTATAAGTCCAAAATAGTTTAGGGTAATGAGTCTAGTCCAATTCCAAAATTAAAACTCGAAATTCTGCACTTTGGGCCTCCTACTCGTTGAGTGTATGAACCTACTCGACGAGTAGGATGAACTTTCCCTTGGACTCGTCGAGTCCCCCCATGGACTCGGCGATTCTACTGAACAGTGAGCATAATTTCGACTTTTTCTAGCAATTTGCATCAAGTATAATGAAAACAAGCCTAGGCTCTGATATCACTGATGAGTTTTGAGCATTCTAACACTCCTATAGTGTACATGCAACCCTAGAAATCTTGGATCTATGTTTTCTCTAATATACATGCAAATTTGATTTTTCCAAGGTTCTCATGCTAACTAGCATGTTATGGGGTACTTGTAACATAAAATCTAGTAGAATGACATACCTATTTCTTGTGGTTGATTTCTTGGAGTTTTCAGACTCTATAAGCAATAATGTGGATGTCTCAAGTAGAATCACAAATCATCACACTTGGAAAAACTTGAGAGAATAGTAATGCACACTAGAAATCAGCCCACCTTCTCTATCACACACACTAGTGCCATTTCATGTGCCAAAGACCTCTTTATATAATATGGTGGATTAGGGTTACATCCATGTAAACCCTAATACCCATGACCATTCATTTCCATAGGATCTATGGGTTAAAAACTCCATGGACTATCCATGCATGCTTAACCCATCCTAAATGAACATTAGCCCATTCTATATATATATATATATATATATATATATATATATATATATATATATATATATAACATTCCATATTTAATTAGTTTCTTTTGATCACTAAATTAATTCCAAATTAATTCTTGATCAATACTAATTAAATAATATGATTTCAAATTAATATATTATAACTTATAATATATTAATAAATCATAAACACCTTATGGACCATGCAAATTGTTTCAGTGAAGTGCAACCTAAATGGACCATACCGGGTCAGGTCAAGTACATACCAAATATAGTTACGAACTTAAACACCTTATCCAACAAGTCTACCATATGAACCTATCGAATTGACCGAAAATCAACGGTCAGCCACCGAGTCATGGTAATAACTCGAAAAAACAATCGCAAATGAAACTCGCCACCGCGTCGTGAAGAGATACTCACAACATTGTAGAAACTGTCTAAAACAACTTAATGGATTAAGTCCTTCACTCTTAATCTCCAGAGTTCAAAATCTCATTTTGATGCATCTAATGGTCTTAACAGATAATGTTTACAACTTTATCCATTCTTATCTCTCAAATTCATCCAAACTCTAAACTTAACTTCCAAGATAACTAAAATACAAGCTTGACCTCAAGAGAACACATGAAAACACACCTTTAATCACGTGCTCAATCCGAGAAGTCATTTGGGTCACTCAAAGGTCAAAGATTTGCTCAAGTCCAAGGACACCCAAGAAAAGGACTTAAAACACCTAAATAAACATAAAGTTAGATCTAACAACATAAATATCAAGGTATGAAATTTATACCTCAAGTGACTTAGAAATCTAAAGTAAATGATGGACCTAAGCTGTCCCTTTGCTTCCTTGCATAGAGTTCCATCCTCCTCAAGCTTCACCAAAACAAGAGAATAAGCTCAAAAAATCAAGTATGGAGGCTAGGATTTAAGAGAGTAATGTTCTCTAAGGATGGGGGAAGCCGAATGAGGCAACCCTAGGAGTTAGAGCCTTTAAATAGGGCTCAAGGCCTGATTTCTAGGGTTTTGAACCGTAGCTGCCACTTGTGGTGAGAGGCTTACCACAACGTGGTGTTTAAATGAACCCTATACTGTGGTACACACTCTACCATGTCGTGGTGTCGGAGAAAACCCAAAGTTACAAAATTGAAAAGCATAAGACTTATACTTGAAATTTCGAGTGTTGCAACATTCAAGTTTAATCACCATTGGAAAGTGTTATCTTCTAGTCTAAAATGGAAAGAATTCTAATCAATCTTCATACTTGGAGGAGAAGCAAGAAAACGAACAAAAACGACATCAAGTGGATACACAACTTCTTCTTACGACCATGTCGGGTAAGATTTGAATGATGATGATGAACTCGAGTTAAAAGAAATTGTCCTACTTATGACGATGAGCTCATGTGGGGTTATATAAAACATCCAATCTATATTATTTTAATTTAATGGAACTGGGATGTTTGTCAAACTAAGAAATTTTAAGTTAGTTTAATTATATACTTAGAAATTTTAAGTTAGTTCAATTATATGTTAGGTGGTAGCAAGTTGTAATACTCCATAAACTATGTTATAGTTAAACAGAGGTCTTTTAGTGGTTTTAATTTACTATTTTTTGGTACTTAAGTATTTTTTTAGTGTGGTATTTTTGACCTCAACTCAAGAGAACCGAGGTAGTAGGAGGTAAAGCAAATTAAATTTATTTTTTGTTGACTTTGTGGACTCAAATGACCCTTCAAATTCCAGTTCTAACCCGAAAAAACTGAGAACTAAAGACTTGAAACCCGCAAAAAACTAAAACGGGTTTTTGGGAATAATGGAAACAAACAACCAAACCAATTTACATATTTAGTTGCTATACACCTATAAGGTTCCGATTTCGGTTCTGGTTCGTTTTTGTCGCAAATTTTTTCCATCCTTATTATCAAGTGTATATAACTAAGGATGAGTATTAGAACCGCCAGAACCGAAATTGGAACTGAATCGGAACCGGATCAGAACCGAACCAGATTTAGTAATAAGGTCCGGTTACCAGTTCTCCACCTTTATAAAAATCGGTTCCGGTTCTAACAACAGTTTGGTTCTAAAAATCTGGAACCAGACCAAAATTTGTCTTGTTTATTGAAATGCACATAACTCACTCATATGAAGTTATAATTACTTGATTTTTTCTCAACATGTAATTTGGTGTTTGTACCTCCCTTTAGACTGTAGAACTACATATTTTGGTAAGATATTAAGTCAATTATGGGCCCCAAAAGACTTCATATCAATGTTGTGATTTTTTTGTTTCAGCATTTTGTGTTTTTTAATCTATCCGATTTTTTTAAATACCCAGAACTCACTCATATGACGTAAGAATTATTTGATTTTTTTTTCTAGCATGTAATTTGGTGTTTGTACTTCATTTTAGATTGTAGAAATACATATTTTGGTTAGATATTGAATCAACTATAGACATCGGAAAACAACATATCAATACTGTGATTTTTCCGTTTAAGCATTTTGTTTTTGGAATCTGTCTCACTTTTTAAAATACGCATAACTTACTCATATGAAGTCAGAATGACTTGATTTTTTTCTAGGATGTAATTTGGTGTTTGTACTTCATTTTAGACTATATAAATATATATATATATATATATATATATATATATATATATATATATATATATATATATATATATATATATATATATATTTTGGTTAGATATTGAATCAACTATAGGCATTGAAAAACAACATATCAATGCTGTGATTTTTCCGTTTATACATTTTTTTTAAAATAAATTTGTTTGGCTTTTTAAAATACACATAACTCACTCATATGAAGTCGGAATTACTTGATTTTTTTGTAGCATATAATTTGGTATTTGTACTTCAATTTAGACTGTATAAATAAATATTTTTGTTAGATATTGTATCAACTATAGGCCCCGAAAAACAACATATCAATGTTGTGATTTTTCCGTTTCAACATTTTGTTTTTTTAATATGTCCCGCTTTTTAAAATATGCATAACTTACACATATGAAGTCAGAATTACTTGATTTTGTTTTTCCAACATGTAATTTAGTGTTTATACATCATTTTAGAGTATACATGCCTCGGAAGACAACATATCAACCTGTTCTAGTTTGAAAAATAACCAAAAAGTCGGGACCAGAACCAGAACTGGCATAACACCGGTGGTCCAATTCTTGGTTCCTAGTTCCTATAATATAGCAAATCCGGTTATGGTTCCGAACCGGTCGATTCTAAAGTTCATCGCTATGTATAACTTTGGTTTTTATTTTTAAAGAAAAAATGCATTTTTTTTTTCTTTCTTTAGGTTTTTAAATAAAAAGAAAGTCTAATTTGGAACAAAATAAGTTAAAAAAAAAAAAAACAAGCTCACCAACTACCAATAATTAAATAGGCTAAAAAAATACAAAAATTATAAATTTCTCATGACCATAAAAACAGTAAATAATAAATATTGATTAAAATGCAATGCCATATTACTATATATGTTGTCCTAATGAATCCATCTTGATGCTTGGAAACCCTCTATGCTTATGGTGTTCTGCATTATATATACATATGGTGTTAGTATATATATATATATATATATATATATATATATATATATATATATATATATATATATATATATATATATATATATATATATATATATATATATATATATATATATATATATATATATATATATATATATATATATATATATAAAAGTTGAGCAGTTTTAATCTCATACGTTTAGTACTAGTTTCAAAAACTTTTAAGTTATTTAAAGGTATCACCCATATGAATTATTAGCTTCAAATTAAGTCAAACTTTTAAGTTATTTAACTTGAAAGATTAATTAGTGTAGATTGATTTATATAAAATATTATTTTACCCAATATAGATTATATACATATGTATGAAGGATTAATTAGTATAGTCGGAGATATATAAGCTCACAGGGGATGAAGAGAAAATTACTTTGAGCAGTCGGCAGTTGGTCCAACATCGGGGATTCCTAGTCCTTTCGATTTGTCAATGTGACACTGCTCTCTGATATTAAGGAATCGCCTTCGGTCGTGATTCTCTAAGAGCATCTTTAAACAATTACATATAGCCACACGATCTTCCTTGGTTTTTCCTCTCTTGTGTAAATTCTCGTGTCCACTACAACATGCTTTCAATGGCCTTGGATCCTTATTGTCAAGGAAGCCCAAGCATGGTGCAAATGCGAAACCCACCGCTGGGCCTGAACACTGGCTTGCAACCATTATCCTACTCGGTGGACTCATTAGTGTTAGTAAACAAATTGTAACAATCAATACTATACCAAGGGAACCCATTCTTCAAATTCTTCCAAATTAGCTATATATAGCCCTGGTGTTTATAACTTGACTCATGTGTTTGAAAATAGTCGTTATATAGAGACCAAATTAACTACAACCCTTAATTAATCATGAGTTTGGCATTTGCTATTAATAAAATGTTGTACTTAGTTTGAACCCTTCAAACATCTTTTCAAATTTCATACGGAAAGCTAACCATATATTACCTAACTTTTAGATGGCAAACGAAGAAGTACTTGAGTTAATTATTTGGGATCAATGTTGTTTCGATTTTAATTTTGTTAATTATCACTAAAATCAATGTGTTCTAATTGAATAGGTAATCATTTGTGATAATAAAATTGGTTTCAGATGTAAGTTAAACATATTCATAGATAATATAGGCTAATTGTAAAAAAGTGTTATATACTTTTGTTGGAAAATAAATGGTGATCGTGAACTTAATCATAAAAGTTGAGGGGTTCGATTGATGTATATAAAAGTTGAGGGGTTCGATTGATGTATAATCGTAAATTGATGTTAAATTTTAGGTAAAATTCTTAATTAAGAATGATATTAAATATAACGTTGGTTATTATCTTCTATTTAATTATCGGTTATGAATTGTGTTTTAATGCCGTAAAAATTGGTTATGGTTTTTGTGGTATAAATTCAACATTTCTCCGACCATTTTATGGACACCAAAAGTTAGACTCAATCATATATTCTTCTCCCTCTAATATTGTGTTTTTTTTGCCACTGGAAAGGTAATATCCAGACTTAAAAAGGTTTGTGCGGTCGCGAAGAGACGTTACTAGATGTTGAATCCTAGGTAACAAACGTCTGATTATGGACGAATTTGTTCTAAGGACACAATGTTAAACATATGCCTCAACAACTTTTTAATTTCTTAATTGTTTTCGTATATTTCCATAGTATTTTTTGTTGCATGCAACTGATCCAACTAATGTATGTCCACCTAGAAATTGATCAGGTGTTTGTCTAAGAAATATAATGTAATATATGATTAAAACTCTATAAACAAAGGATGTCCATGGACACCTCTACAAACATGTCTATATATAAGGTAGAATCGTTGCTATCTAAGAAATATAATGTAATATATGATTAAAACTCTATAAACAAAGGATGTCCATGGACACCTCTACAAACATGTCTATATATAAGGTAGAATCGTTGCTATCTATATAGCCAACGCCAGACAAACATGTTTCATAATAATCATTATAACGAGTTAATAAAAAACTTTTTTTTTGCAACTAACCAAGCTTTATATTTGTATACTTTTTTGCCCAAGGTGGACCTATAGGGTGTCCCGTGCAACTACCCAAATTTTTCGTATTAGTGTAAAAAATTACTTTTTTTATTAGTTTACACCTACAAAATTTTATACAGATATATACGTGTTCCATGGGTTATAGATAATAATAGAGTCATGGTCTAGTAGTTAAGGCGTTGGGGTAATAAACAACAAGTTGCAAGTTTGAAACAAGCTACTCACATTTCCTTCATTTTATTTTGGTAGCCACTTTTGTCTCACCCCCTAACTAGAACGACGGAAACTTTTGAGGGTGGATGACGTCATTGGATAGTATCATAACAATTGAATATGAATGAAACACAGTAACCAAACATCATACATTAAAAAATACCAACATACATTGTTTACATATTGTATTTGTTCACAAATTTACACAAAAGTGACATAAAATATGATGTTCCAAAATGTAGCAAATATCCAAAATCCATAGCCCAAATACATGCTCACTGAGTCCCTGAGAATACAAGTTGTTTTGAAAGACGTTAACTAAAAAGTTGGTGAGTTTATAAGCATATTTGTATAAAAAGCTTTGTAACATCTTTGATTGTAATAATTTGTAAAACTACAAAAAATCCGATATTTTCTTTGAAAAATAGTTTATAAGTCTCTTTCTAAAATTGTGAATAATTGCATGCGTGTCCTTTGTTTTCTTTTATTTGTAATAAGAGAGAGTGTTTGTTCCCAGAAAATCTCATATTTCTAGTTTTATGAAAATTTGTAGTCTTAAAACCCTTAGCCTGGGGCGGTGATATTAATGTACAAAAATATGAGTGTGGTTTTATATTTTATAAAACCAGTGAAATGTATAATTTCGTAAATCTAAAATAACGTTGTTAATCCATATGTGAGTCGTTACAATCATGCTAGATACGAATAAAATGCCTTTCACGACGTGCTTCAGGCGTCGGTTTTGGTAAGATATTTGTTACCTTAGACTGCCCCTGTCTAGCTGTAGCGAACAACTAAGGTGTGGGGGTGTCAACCCCGTATAGATTTATACACAATTACCTCGCTCTCCCTCCAGGAGACTCTGGTTATAACTACAGGACTTACGGAGTATGATAGGTAGGTACGGCGAAGGAAAGTCCCACAAGTGCCTTAACAGATTTACGCGAGCTTTGACTCCCATTAAAGAATAATGAAAATACTTCGTGACTGAAGTTTTATGAAACACGTTTTGTAGCTTTATGACAGACAGCTTATGACACGTAAACTTTTCTGTCGTAATAATTTTGTTTTGTATACTGTTTTAGTTAAATTATTTATAACACTTTTTATAAGTAGTTGTTAATAGACATGTGTACTTGTAATATATGTTGTGTAAATAGCATAATCCTCTAAGTTTTCAAACTATTAAAATGTTGACAACATATTACGACTATTTTACTAGTAAAAATTATTTTTAGTAAAATAATCAAGTTTTATCGTTTTTTTAACGCACCAAAATTTTGTTTAGGAGTTTTGTAACACAAAATATACCATTTTGGTATGACTCTAGCATGTCACACATTTTACAAAATACATATAGAAATCTTGAAATTTATTATATATTCCATTATTTGTGTAAGTATAGGTGTTAAAATTGCGTATGAAAGTTAACCATTTTTGAGTGTAAAACCCATATTTTCACCATTTTGGTGAAAAAACAAATCCACAAAACTTTTATAACACAAAGATATTATTAACATACACTTTATTATTTTTAAGATATACTAAGAACCTTTTTGGTTGAGAACTTGTTTCATCTTCTACCCATGACTATGGTACATGAAATTTTCAAAAGGATAAACTTAATCTAGCAACATGAACCTTGTAAAGCTCGAGTGCATGGAGTGTTAGCATGAGGTAATTAACATTTCAAACACTAATAGCTACATAAACACACAAGTGCATGCAAATATCCAAAGATTTAAACAAAACTTGACTTGTATTCCCCCCCCCCCTCCCCTAAAGGATGAACAACACGAAAATAGTGGGGTATGAAGCTCACCTTGGTTCATTTCGAGTGGTAGAAGAAGAAGAAGTTATTGGACCTAGCTTGGTGTGGTTTTGAAGATTACTCGAAAGTGGATGGAGTTTTGTGAGTAATACACACAAAAATGGTGGGTGAATGGAATGATCTTTAGCACAAATATATAACAAACACTTGAGTTTCATAAGAAGCTTACCTAGAATGACTTGGATCGATTTCTATGATGGTGATGCTCGTAACTTGTGAGAGAAGGGATGAGGGAAGTTTTTTTTTGAGAGAAAAGTGGATAAAGAAAATGTTTGAAGTGTGTGGGAGGGGGGAGGCTGGTTGGCCGAGGTTAAGAGAGAGGAAGGGAGAAAGAGTTGACCTTGTTAAATGTTGATGTGATACTTACTTTGATACATGATGGTTAAAACATTGTTGCATGTAGGGCAAAAATGAGGTGGCACCCTCTTTATCCATTTCCTTATCTTTTGTTTTTTTGTTTTGTTTTGTTTTTGTTTAAGCCATAACCGAACCCTAGGTTCTCGGCAAAAAGAGAGCCCAAAAGAAATGGGTTACGAGTTTTGGCTTGGCCCAATAGGAATTTTCGGCATAATAGGAGTTTTCGGTCTATTAAAGCCCAATGGTAGGAGTTTTCGGCCGAATAAGGCCTTATAATGAGTTCTCGGCCCAATGGAAAGCCCAATAAGAGTTTTCAGCCCAATAGGGCCTAAAGAAAGGTTTTTGGCCCAATAAGGCCCAATGAAAGAGTTATCGGCCCAAAAGGCAGTTGGGCCGAGAGTTCTTTGGCTAAGGCCGAAAATTGATTGGACTTAGCTATTGGATCGAGTTTTTAGGCTTGTGTGAGGCTTAAATCACAATGTATGCACATATGAATTTAAATAACATTGTAGTTTGAATTTCTCTAATTGGGTGTTGCAAGGTTACATGGAAGAAATTGTTTCGTACAAGAATCACAATCTCAACCCTAATTTGCTAGTTGTGACATCATCCCTCCGTTAGAGGGAATTTCGTCCCAAAATTCATTCGAAAATAGCCCTTAAGAGTTAGAAAAGAGAAGGGGGTATTTTTTGCATCATATGGTCTTCTTTTTCCGAGGTGAACTTTGGTCCTCGTTTAGCGCTCCATCGCACCTTCACAATGGGAGTACGAATTTGATTTGTTCATTTCACTTCTCTATCCATGATTTCAACTGGTTCCTTAACAAAATGGAGATTTACATTCACCTCGATTTCATTAAGCGGGACAACGAGAGTCTCATTAGATAAGTATTTCTTTAGGTTCGACACATGAAATACATTGTGTACATTGCTGAGTTCTGGTGGTAATTGCAGCTTGTAAGCCACCAGACCAATCCTGGCAAGGATTTCGAATGGTCTGTTGTACCTTGGATTCAGTTTTCCCCGCCTTCCAAAGTGTATCATCCCTTTCCATGGAAAGACCTTTAATAGTACCCAACCACTGACTTGAAACTCTAGGGGCTTCCGTCGTCTGTTAGCGTAGCTTTTCTGTCGGTCTTGAGATGCCTGAAGTCACTCCCTGATCTGAACGATCTTCTCAGTTGTTTCCATGATAATCTCGGGCCCATTAAGAGTGTTGGATGGTACAATTCCTTTTTCCAGTTGATTATCCCCCACTTTAGCCCAACAGAGGGGTGATTTGCATTTTCGCCCATATAAGGCCTCGAAGGGGGCGACCTTGATGCTTGTGTGACAGCTATTGTTGTACGAGAATTCAATTAGGGACAAATGGGAATCCCATGCTTTGCCAAAGTCTATCACACAGGCTCAAAGCATATCCTCCAAGGTTTGGATG